TGCCATTAGAAATAAAGCAATTTCATGGAGATAATAGCTAAAAAAATGTTGTAAAAACCTAGCTAAATGATTGCAACGTACTTTGCAACTTTCTAGGGGTGTTTTGCTGTCTATGCGCCTCTTTTTCAGCCAAAACAGTGTCCCGAAACACCGAATCGCCCAGAACTTGGCCGCCTTCTATCCAATCCAGCTCAAATTTTTACCATCGATGCGTATCACCAAGTCCTTGGTTTCAGGAAATTTTAAGTTGAAAACATTGCTAAATGAAAAAGTTATAGCCAATACACTGGTTTCTTCAAACGCGAGAGGGGGCTTTGGAGGCGCTTACGCGAGGGAAAGCGTCGATGGTAGCGCCGCGGCGGTCCGTCGCCCCGACGGACGCCGGCCCATCTTTCTCCAGCCCTTTAAAAAACACACGGCATTTCAATTTCACGCTCGGGCTCTCTCTCTCTCTCTCGGGTAGTGCCGAAATGTCAAACCTTCGAGTCGGCCGGTTCGTCCTGAATCATAGTCTCATCTATCACCATATGGCCTCTAATATTGACCTCTAAGATTCGTCGTGGCAACAGACATCGAGCATTTACCATCGACCTAAAGGTGACCGAAAATGACGCTGTGTGAAAAATTTTGCTGGACCGCACCGGGGATTCAAATATTCCACAAAATCGGGGAGAAGGTGGACGATCAGCGTGCAAGGGCCGCTTCGCGGGCGCTGCACGCCGAGATACGGACTTTGCTGCTAATCGACTTTTTTTTCCCTCCCCTCCACAACGCTCGCGCGCGTGCAGCTGGGGTATTTGTGTGATTCGTTCCCTTGTAAGGTCAAATCTCTACGTTTATGCCTCTGTCTATATACGCTAGCATTTACAGGCCTACAGGATTAAATTTTGAAAATACGAAGTTAGTTTGATCCTATCAACCCCGCCCCTCACCACGTTAAGCGGGTTGGTTTTTTAGGATTTCCGGGGGGAGAGGGGGCACCAAATTTTTTTTGGAACAAGCCTAAATTTTTTTATAACTAGCGGATTCGTTTCTAATTTTTTGTAGCTGTTCCTGACAAGGGAAGCGTTTTTGACCAAGGTGGCAAATCGTATTATGTAAGATATTAGTTTTATGTAAGATACCTCAATGGATAGAGAATTGAAAATAAATGTGAGGCTTAAATATTAATTTTTGCTGAACGCCTCTCTCTAAAAAGTTATTTGGGTTTTAAAGTGACTTTTTTTTGCCAAGATTCACATTATTGATCCCCCCCCCCTCGGAAATCCTAAAGAACCGGCGGGTTTTATCCAAGCGGCTTTAACTTTGTAAACGTGTATTTTATGAAAATTCTGAAAACGAAATCGAAAAGTGGAGAGGCGCGATTCGACAGACACCCACAGACACACACACACCTCCATTCTCTAAGGTGGGATAAGCCTGGTAAGTCGAAATTTCCACCCTGAAATGAGGATTTCGGGTTGATGTCTCGGATAACTTTGAAACGTAAAGGTTTCACAATGTAACTGCCCAAAATGTTACCTGAACTCCGTGTTGACGCGTTGCAACACGACCATCTCGCGCATGTCCAAATGATCGACGATGACCGGGATGAGGGCTGGGGGCAGTCGAGAGGTGGGAAACGTCGGCAGACCCATCGAGGTTGTTCTCCTTTAAAGGGCACGTTCAGGGACGTTTTTCGGAAAGAAGGCCGGCATTTTTGCCGCGGCCGGGGATCGAAAAACGATTGGAAACACGTATTTATATGTGCATGTGGGAAATTAGTTCAAACCAGGGTTGAAAAACCGCTTCGCGGCTTTTCAACCCTGGCCCCGTTAGGCCCTGTGAAAATCTTCAACTTGCATGCTTCTTCCCGAACTCCAGCATAAAAAAGTGAAGAGCGCGCGCTTTCTTCCTTTTTATGAGCCACCTCCACTTCCGGTGTATGGTAATTGCTTCCTAACAAAGAGGAAACCCAGAATTTTAGAAAAACCTAATTTTAATGTAGAAAAAAAAGAACTTTTTCCAAGATCTGCTCAGTGTGCAGTCGTTCATAGGCCATAACGCACCGAATGACGTATCAAACACCCCCGTAGCTTCCCTCCTTCTCGAGATAGGACTGGAACAACCTGACAGAACACATGCAACCTGCATGCAAATGCACACACACACACAGGAACTTTTTTTTATACTAGTTCAAATCTTCAAGTTCAAATCGCGTAAGGTTTCCGCAGGGTTTTCAAAGTCCGCGGAATTTTGAAAACAAACTATCGTAAAACGAAAAAGTTATCGCCGAAGATCTCGTTTTTTGAAATGTTTGCAGCGAATTTCCAACCAGCATGCGGATTTTGAATACTTTTCCGATAGATGGTCATTTTCAGGTCTGTTTACTGCCGCTTTTGCGGACCGTCTGAAGTCCCGGTTTAATCTATATAAATTAAAAAAATTTCCCAGCTCGCGAAGAATGCCTTGCCAATATGTCCAGGTAGAAATCCTGGTGAAATCGACGAAATAAACCTTAACCAGGGTTGAAAAGCCGTTTCGCGACTTTTCAACCCTGGCCCCGTCTGATCGCATGATATACTTCACTTTGCATAATTCTTGGACTTCCGATGACAAAAATGAAAACCGCGCTCGCTAGCACATTATATAGACTACCCGGAACTTCCGGCGCATGCTAATTTTTTCCTAACAAAGAGGATCGCCGATTTCCCAAAAAAAACTTAAGTTTAATGTCGAAAATATGCAATTTTGATAAATCTGCTCTGCGTGCAGTCATCTCAGGGCCATTACGCACCTAATGACGTATCGTACGTAGCCTAATACCCTTTCCCCCTTGAGATATCCTCCGGACAGAATGACGGAAGTTTCATGCAAAGTGGCACACACACATACACACACAAACACTATTTTTTTATATATAGTAGGATTTGGCGACAAATTTTTCGTTTTTTGATATTTTAGTTGGAAAATTCGGCTGAAGTTAATAGAAGACGATGTGATAGGAGGCTTTCGCGGGCGGGAGGAGAGGTTTAGCACACCCTGCATGTAATTAATGGTCAGAAAATGATAAAAAGTGGTAGTGCGGGGTCGCGTGAGCATTTTGAATGTGCGGCAATTTGGATGCTGTATGATTGACCCTTTTGCGCGGGAATTACATGGGGCCAGCATGCACCCCAGCATGCCCTCTTGGCAAGGCAACAAGGGGAGGCGGCTGTATGGCTGTGCTCTATTCTAGGTAATTCCGGGTGCAAATTTTTCGAATAGATGGCTCTTTGAACAGGTAATTGTCGGACAGATGATTTTCCAACAAATGATAGAAATCGTAAACGGTCCCCGTTTTGAAGCGTAGGCTCATCCCTGAATTGAGGAGTTCTGACTTCCCGATTCACTTTAAAGGGGGCCCGGAAATCGATTCCACGGCCCCTGCGTTGATTCCTGGAAACTATGAACATGCGACCGCGTCGCATCATCTGCAGCCCCTGTTTGGACGTGAAAACGCTTGCATTTACCAATTCTGACGCTATTCCTGGAATCACCACCGAATTTTGATCATCAACCTCACGAACCCGAGGCTCTGTAGTATATACGCTTAATGGTGCCTGCACATATGCTTAATGGTGCCTGCGGCACCATTATCTGCCCCGCCCCCCAAGCGGGTCATCCCCTCGTTCCCCGAAATCAGTCAGTCGATCCCCAGACCCTGAACCCTTCCCTAAGCTCAGCTAACTCGAAGTTCCACGGGAGACCGGAGGCCCTCTCGGGCCGACGGGATTCCGTCCCCTTTTGATGCTTTATAAATTTTAGGAATCATAATTGTTAGGGTCTGTATCCGCGCCGGCCGACTTCCTTTCTCGGCCTCTCTTCCCCGTCCCCAGTTTTTATATGACAGTTTAAGTTACTCGAATAAACCCCTCGTAATAAGTCCGTGGGTTAAAAATACACTTTATACACTAAGACCTTCTCATGAGTTTCCCCCCTAGTCAAAAGAGTGTCAACGTCACAAATTCGTATCCTTAGTCATAGTTCGTATCTGGGACATTGCATAGAACAACCTATGGCGCGGAGCCAGTTAAGTTAGGATTAGGGTTCCTAGCTAGAAGAGTGGTAACAGCCCCAACATGGGAAGATCGTAACTGGTGAGGTATATTTGGCATAGAGTCCGACCCACTCGGTTATGACAGCTCAATATTTCTAAATTTCGAAAAACGTAAACGGGAAAAAAATTGTTTATTGATGTTTTTGTTGTTAAGAACGTTGTTGTTCGTTGTTTCGTTGTTTCGTTGTTTGTTGTTAACAATTCAATTCTGAACAAGTTCCTAACGTTCATTTTTCGGAATGGTTGTCTCCGATTTTAACAAATTAAACACTAAAAACTCGCGCCACTACCAAAAGAATTCACTATCGGATGAGCTTTCTCGCGAAAGGTGCGATGGCAAAAAAGTGCACTCCTTGTTAGGCACGCATGCACATTTACATGCGGCAATACTCGCGCACATTTCCTCAACACAGAAACCCTTTATTGACAGGTGGTCCTGGTGAAAACCACACCGGGCCTCCAGGTCGGTGCAGATCGGAACGGCGAGCCCGACGTAAAAGGCTGAAGTTGCCCGTTTTAGAGTATAGCAGCCGGAATTTTGATGCAGCAAGCAAATGGTAACAATCCCCCCCCAGCACACAATGGAGTGCGGACAGCGGAGACTGGACACTTCGAGCTGACGCTGCGATATTGGAGGCACTACCAAGTCGCGGCGAGGAAAGCAAAACACTCCGTCGCCAACTCTATTCAAAGGGGCCAATTCCATCGCTCCTTGAGTGTAGCCAGCAAGCGGTCACCTGAAGCTAGAAGAATGGTGTCACCACATGGGCCGCATTGGGGCCCTCTTTCAATCAGTGGTCACCATCATTTTATTTCGAAAAAGTGTGAAAACGAAACACATAATATCAAATCCCGACATACAACAGATAACAAGATTGCGAGACTGGGGGTTAAGACAGGAATACAGGAATAAGACACATCAGAATTGTTCCGAGAATTCCTGATCAAAAGTCGGATCATTTTCTTCCGGGTTCGGTTCGACTTGTGCCGGTCCTTGTGGATGGTGAAAGTGAGCTTGGCTTATCTGGGGTCCCGGGTAGGCGGTGTACAGGTATGGATGGTAAACCTAAAAGTTTTCTAACAAAAGAATTTCTGCACATACCTGCTGGACCCATATACGACTTTCCAATCAGTGGGGTTGGTCGAGTCCAGGCTGTGGAAGGTGGGGCATAATCTAAAATACATTTTAATGAATAGACATAAATCCAACTCAAAAAGGGGCTGGTCCGACGGGCTGCAACACACCATCATCCACAATCGGTCCAATCGGCGGCGCGAGCGCAGCAGAGCCAGCTGCAAAAAAAGCTTTACAGATTGGTGCAAAGAAAAATAGAATAGTCCGCGAAGAAACCCAATCTCAGCGCTACGCCCGATCCGATACCGAGGTAAAAAATAGACTCCCATGTATCCCACGAAAGTCGTGCAATCACACTCGTACAGATTGCTCATCCATGCCTAAATTAATCGTACAAAAATAATAACGGTTTAATCACCTTCCTCACGATAGTCCGCTCCAGTTCCTTCCAGGAACAGCCGTCACGCAATTTCACGTGCGAGAAGTAATAGCCTTTGGTCATCTCCCTGAGCTAAGCGTCAATCACATCAACAAACAAGCGCTGGGTACCTTCACGTAGGGGCAGCGGCCACCGAATTCCACATATCTTTCCAGAGCTCTTTGGCCCCCGCCGCTCCAACGGACGGCCCGCCATTCTCGGTGCGGTTCCAGCTCTTCAGCGAGCTAAAAACCAAATTAGAGACGTGGAAGCGCCTCCAAGGCTTCAAAGATGAACCACAGAACTATTCAAGAGGAGAAAATCCTTGCTTACCGATTTCCCCATAAACGCGAAAATCGACCGGCGTTGCCCAGACCGTGCAGCAGTTCCCGGTCGATCTCCGTCACCCTCTGATGACCTCTCGAACGAGCTCATTGGGCCGACCTAAAACATAAAATTCCGAATAACCGAGCATCAACCCACCTGAGAGCAAATCTGGCTTATCACCAACTTGAGACGTCGAGCAGCTTGGCAGCATGTTGGACCGAAGAGGGAATTGTTTGTAAGGGAAAAGAAGTTAAATTAAGCAGTTCGAGGTCAAATGTTCCAATAGTGTTCAATCAATTTGTTTGCCTTTAATAACGCACGCCATTAGACACGAAGGCTAGGAGCGGACTGGCGGCCAGTTGGATCAAATCAAAACCCTCATATATTTCAAGTGGAACGCATGAATCATTTCCAAAATGGCTGGCGGTAACCCCAGTCCCCAACATTCCTGGAAGAAGAAAGGTGAAGAAAGGGAAAAGTCTAGCCAACAACTCGACAAGAAGGCCGTTTTAAGCGCTTAATTTCGTCAAAACAAGCCCCGTCAATGACTAACAAACGTAATACTGAGTTTACACCGGAAATACGACAACGCAAAACTAAAGAAAGCCACTATAAGCGTGCGCAAGGACATTTTTCACTCGAGATCGATCGAAATTCTATTATTTGATCAAAGAATTTTTCTGCGTAGAAGGAATGTCCGCAAATTTTGGGCCAAACTGTAGTTTGTGGTGCCGCGAGATAGTAGGCCTGGGGAGAGGGCGCATGCGCAAAAGGGGCCGGGGCACGGAATAGGCGACTGAGGTAGTAGACTATACTCTTGCCGTTCTTTACAATTCCCTAACCTAAAAACACAGAGATTTTAAGTAACAATTCCGACAAAAAATCCGATTCTTTTAAAAAATTTTCGACTGTTGTCTTTTTGCAACAAACTGCAAACTTTTTTCCTGGCGGCCCGGTTGACCTAGTAATCAAACATAAAGTGCTATTACATTCCTTTAGCACTTTTTAACTATATTTAACGTCAAAAACTTCAAAAACAATTAGAATTTTTTGAAAAAGTAAAAAAAATCAAATATTGGCCCTAAAATTAAAATTTGTAAGATTTTTATGTTCAGGAATGGTGGACAACAATGTAGAAACGCATCCATATTTATAAAAAATTAGGCGTGGCCGAAAAGAGTTTGTCCCAGCCATCCGAATCTTAAAAAGCGGAAACAGCACTAGCACGCCGTAGTTTTTAAAAAAACTGGCAGCTTCGCTAGAAATCGCCTTAAAAACAGACAAAGCACTTCACAGAAGGCTTTAATTTTTCAGGAATGGGTTAAAGAACCGCCAGAAAATCTAATTGTTACAAAAATCGCAGCAAAAGTCCAACTTCTAAAGCGAATTTGTCGGCAAGTGACGAGAAAAAAATTTTTAAGGGCGCCTCCTTATCAACTTTTCGGCCTTCGGAATGGCTTGCTGTCCAAGCCTAAAGCCCAGTGCCGTAGGGGCCCCGGATTTTTTTGGGGCCGGACCCCCAAAATTTTTGCCCAAATTCAGCCCTTAGACCCCAACCATGAACAACATTAAAAATAGGGGGAAAACAGCGCCGCGGGCCGGAAACATTCCTTAGCAGCGAACAAAACCCGTATAAAAGCACGCAAAGGCAGCGCCGCGATTTCAAATTTTAAGAAAACTATTGAATTCCATGGCACTAATTCCCAAGTCGTAAACAAACTTTTGAAAACCTTAAAACCCGGCAGGCACAAAAATTTTGGCGGGCCAGTTGCCCCAGTTGCACCCTCCTGCTACAGGCCTGCTGCGGCCTCCCCGGCGTTAACCAATGGTCCCCAGAACGGTATGCGGCTAGGCAGAGTGTAGGGAGTTCCTTTCGAAACACCGAAATACATAATGTCGGAAGTACCCAAATCTCCCGGAAAACGCGATGCCAAAAAATTTCGACTTGTTGTGATAAAATCGGTTTTTGGACTGTTGGAAGGAAGGGAGGGGCCTTTTAGCGGGGTAGAAACCAAATTTTTCCCTGTGATTCTCTAAGACCTCGTATTAAAATCTAACCGATTTTTCTAGCATTTTACCTAGTTTTTAGATATAGAAACAATATAAAAAACTTTCATAATTTTCAAAATTGTTGACTTTTTGGTCAAAAATGTACGAAAAATTACCAAAATGAGTTTTTAAAATATTTTCAGAACTTTCTAGCAACTAAAAATACTATAAAAATACATCAGTTATCAGCAACAGGTGGAAAAAACAAAAAGTGGTTCCCCCCTGCTAAAAATACCTAATACCTAGTATCGTGTTTTTCAGCATCTCATCGGGCCGGAAAACGTCCACGTTGATGACCTCAAGTGAAAGTCCAGACACAACAAGAGAGCCTTGTCAAAGAC